AACTTGCATCTGCTGAAAGAGTTACATCCTTATTAACATTATATAATTTTAATACAGGTCTTTTACAACCAGTTCTTTAAGTGTTTTGAAAGCTTTTTGATGTTTTTCAGTCCATTGCCAGAGAAAAGTTTTCTCAAGTAACTGTCTTAATGGTGCAGTAATAGTAGTTAAGTTAGGAATAAATTTGGCTAAATAATTTCTCATTCCCAAAAATCTTCGTAGCGAAAGCACATCTGTAGGTTCTGGCATTTTAACAATTGCTTCCACTTTAGAAAAATCAGGTTTTAGTCCATTTACACTTAGCTCACGCCCTATGTAGTTCACACGATGAACTTTTATTTTACATTTAGCCTTATTGAACTTCAAATTATTTTCTCGTGCTCTCTGGAGTACTTTTATAAGTCGTAGCTCATGTTCCCTTCTATTATTTGGTTTAATTTTCTTTGGCAAATTTCTGAAGCTGAACATATGCCAAAAGGTAATCTTTTAAATTTGTATCTGCCAAAAGGTGTATTGAATGTACACAAATTACTACTTTCTTCGTCAAGCTGGATTTGCCAAAAAGCACTATTAGCATCTAAAACAGAAAATATTTTTGCGTTAGGCATTCTAGTGACAACTTCGTCAATGGTTAACATCGGATAATGTTCTCGTTTTATAGCTTTATTTAAATCTCTAGGATCTAAAGTATTCTTATTTTATTAGGTTTGACAACTGTGACCATTGAATTTACCCATTCAGTTGGTTCTCTCACTTTTTCAATAACATTTAAATTTTCCAATTCTTTGTAATTCTTTCTTAACTTTATCTCGTATAGCTATGGACATTTTTCTTGGAGGATGAATTACTGGTGTTCCATCTTGTTTTAACTGGATTTTATATTCTGCACTCAAACAACCCAAGCCTTCAAATACATCTTTGTATTCCTCCAGTAAGTCTTCAGTGTAAACAGACATTACTTTTCGAATCAAACCTAGTTGCAAACATGATTTTAATCCTAATATAGAAGGTACTTCTTTGTCAATAACTTGGAATTCCCCAACATAATTATTTTTTCCATATTGGCAGTTAAGTACTACTTTTCCTAAAGTATCCATTTTATTCCCAGAGAATTTAACTAATCTTTTAATTTCAAACTTCTGTATAGGAACATTTAGCAATTTCACTTTGCTTTTAGAAATAACATTGCACATTGCTCCAGTGTCTAACTGCAAATGTAGTTTACTTTTATTTACATTAACGTTAGCAGTCCATTTCTCTTCCTTGTTATCTGAATTAAGGTTTAATGTGCTGACATAAAATTCTAATTCTTCCTCACAGTCATGATTTATTAATTTAATCTGTCTATCTTTTTTGTTTACCTTGACTGCTTCATTTTTTATTATATAGCTTTTACACTGACTCGCGAAATGATTTGCCTTTTTACACTTATGACAGATTTTTCCATATGCTGGACACTTTCGATACTCATGAGATGTTCCACATTTAGAACAAATATTTGTCTGTTGTTTTTCGGTATTTACCTCTTTGTAGGTATTCTTATTATGTTTACTTAGTTTCTTTTTCTCTAAGTTTACAACAGTTTCCTCATCTTTTATGATTTTCATTTGATGTGCACTTATTTCAGCAGATCTGCGTATATTAAGAGCTTTTTCTAATGTTAATTTTGTTTCATGTAACAATCTTGTTCTCACTACATCATCTTTAATACCACAAATAATTTTATCCTTTATTAAACTATCCGTTAATTGTGCAAACTCGCATTTTCGAGCTTCAATTCGAAGATCAGTTACATATTCATCTATGCTTTCTGACGCGGTTTGATTTCTAGTAAAGAATAAATGTCTTTCATATGTAATGTTTTTCTTAGGAATACAATATTCCGTAAATTTTGTCTTAATTTCACTTAATTTAATTTCTTTACCATAGGAAATGTATTATATATTTCAAGACCACGAATTCCTATTACAGGAAGAAAAATATTAACTCTTACCTTCTCTTCTTTATTATGTAATCCACTAGCTACTTCATATATAGTTCGAATTATTGCAGCCATCTTTGCCAATTTGAAGTAAGATTTCCATCAAATTTCATCGGCTCTGGTGGTTTTAAACTTTCCATTTTGAAAGCAAAATACTCTTGACACCATATAGAATAATGAGGGTGCTCTTTTAGTTTTTATAAACTATTTATTTATAATAATAGAATGTATAATATTACAGAGACCTGCAATACCAGCATTGTTCTATTTTCATATCAGTATCCAAAGTGTTGCCAATTACAAGTTACTAAGTATTAAATGTTAAATGTTGCCATTTACAAATTATTAAATATGACAATACCCACCCCCTTACCCAGCTTAAGAGTCCTTACCCAACCTTTATTTTCGCAAGCTTTGGTCGTAGTCATATACTTCCAATTATGGAAGTATTTTAAATGACAAAATTATTTCTATTTTGGCAATTTCAGTTTAAAAAAGGAAATTTATTTTGTACAAATTACGAAATGTAACTTTTAATGCGGTCTTCCTGTTCCTATATTTATATTTGGAAAAGTCTTGTACTCGTTATATTAAAAAATAAAATTGCAAGAACTTTGACTCCCTTACTACAAAACTTGACTGTGATATTAATTTCAAAATTTCCAATTTTTCAATCTCATTTTCAGTTTTCGGGATTGATTAAAATAATTCGAGGAAACAAGTTCAAATGACGTGAAGGGAAAAAAATGTGTATGATTTAATAGGCCGTACGAGGAGGAAGTTACGTGTTGTCCACATCAAAATTTTTTAATTAACTTTTTTATCCGAAAATCGAGGGGAAATAATGCGAGTCATTTAATTTCTGAAGGTTGCAGTTGCAGTAAAAACCTAAGAAATGAAAAGTAAAACTGTTATTAACTATCGCAATACTATTTCTTTAAAAGAATCCTACTACATTCCAATAACAATACTCTAATATTACATCAATTAAGATATCATATTTTCTACGTCTCTGCAATTTGCTGTTCATCAGTAAATTCACGAATAAATTTTAGATTTTATTATTATTATTATTGTTACTATTATTACCATTATTACTTCTTTGTGCAAAGTAAAGGAAGTATTGTAATCTCTAAAAATTTCAGTTTTTAGATTTTAACGGAAATATACATTTTGACCACTCCCATTGACTCTTTTTTTGTATGACGTTTGTACGTACTGTTTGAGGTGATGTGTTCTCCTTGCTCTGGCTCACCAAAAATGTCACACTGAATCATTACTTTTGGTTTATTAAAGGAACTAAGTATATACATATATACATTTAGTTGTATGCTGGGAAATCATACTTCAAACACAACACATCGTTAATACATTCGTTCGCTCTCTCTTCTAACTATCTGACGCTTCTGAATTTACTTTCTGTTACTGCGGATTTATTACAGTGTCATATTTCAGCATACTACAATATGGAGATAATAAAGTACTCTGTATTCCAAAATGGATTGTAAAATGGGTTTTTAGTGACGTCTGCATATACGTATGTATCTCGCATAAGTCAAAATCGATTAACCGTAGAGCGTTGAAATTTTGTATATGGAACTGCTTTGTATCCCTCTCGTTTTTGCTACAGTCGGTGCCAAAAGGGAAGTTTGCCCGAACGGATTTTTGAAATTTTGGCATAACTCAAAAGCAGGTTAACAATAGAATTTTGAAACTTTGTATATGGGATTGCTATAACAGTATAGTTATGCATCTTCCTGATTTTCACTTCCTCCTGCAAAGTAAAGGAAATACTGCAATCGCGAAAGGTTTCGATTTAAATTCAGATTTAAACGGAAATACATATTTTGACTAGTTCCGCCGTGACGTGTGTACGTAAGTATATCGCATAACTCAAAAACGGCATATATTAGTAAGTTTTGTAAATATTACATTCAGTTTACTATTACCGTATTTCCTCCCGTATTTTCCCCCTTTTTAACTAATTTTATCGTCCGAAAATTGAAAACGGAAAATTAAGAGAGTCATTTAACTTCCGAAAGATGAGGTTAGAGTAAGAACATAACAAATGAAAAGGAGTCATGAGTAAACTGCTGGTGAATATCCCAATATTATTCCTTTAGAAAAACCTACATTCTTATAAGAATACATAGTAATATTAACATTAAATATCTGAAGGATATCAAACCGATATCTGATGGTAACTGAGGCAGCTCAGATGCCTTCTAATGCCTCAGGGGCACAACACATGAATTAATGTTGATTGCAGTTCCCAAGAGGGACATCGGAGGAACGAATCATAAGGTGGGCGACCAATAGACCTGATTTCGAAAGATCGAAGACCTGAACAGTCGATAAAACTATAATGAGCATGAATGTAAATAATATTTGCAAGGTGAAATCAAATCTTTTGGAAGTTACTTAAGTGGAAGAACATTTGCCAAGTCCGGGTAGCTTTAAGAAGAATGTGCACAAAAGGTGTTTCGATAATAAATATAAGGGAAAATAAAATGGAAGAAATGCTAGCATGAAAAAGCAAATACAAATTGAATACACTGAGTAGGAACAAAAATAATTAAATTTGCGATTAAACTACCTCTTAGAGGGTAAAACTACGTACACTACGAAAAGAGAGAATTTATAAATACATTTTTAATTTTTCAGAACCTAGCGCTAAGAAACTAAAAGGAAAATACGCGGGAAATACGAATATTTTGAAATAAAGTATAGATTCGTGAAGTATTTGGTACATTATTGTGAACTGGTAAATTGGTAAAGTATTAAATAAATTATTGCGTGGCTTTGCCCGATGGTCGTTTCATGTAGTGGGGCAATTTTAGGTTTTGGACTTAGCAAGCATATTACAAGGTTACAGCCTATATTAGTAGATATGTTTTTTATGTATATATGTATATATTGTGGCCATAAACAAGGGAAAAACTAATTTCACTGTAACTGAAGACTTTTAAGTAAACCTTTTGATTGAAGGTGTTTTTAATTATCTTTTTTTCCTCTTTAGAATAGGCGATATCTTCTATTTCTTGAAGCGATGGGGATTTCCAGGAAGCATAACTTTGACTTTGTACATTGTCTTTGTATTGGTATTCGTGACAGTCAACATCATAGGTAAGAACATGAAATCATTCAAAAAGTGTTTCGTAACATGAAAAACTGAATAATTTCACTATTGCAGCAATTTGTTTTCACAACATTGCGTTTTATATCTTCGTGAAGCAGAAATTGCTGTCGATTTACTTGCTGGAAGTATTTGTTCCTTGTCACGTGTGCCTGCAATTAAAAAATGAACAGCTATATTTTAAATAATTAAGCCTTTTCTTCATTAAAGACAGGGCGCACCAAAATAGTATTCGTTGTATATATGTAAATTTAAAACAAATCAAATGGTAATTATTTGTGTTGTTTCAATATTTTCTTTTTCTTTTAATGTACATACATAGTTATTTATTTATTTATTTTAGGGTTAGAATTGCATTACTTACAAGTGAACGAGAATCTTCAGCTTAGTTTCGAAGAGTTTAAAAACAGCTTAATTTCTTCTCTGAAGCTCTTTGTGTAAGTCTAGAATATTCTTTATTTTGTTTCAAATATACCATGTAATAATAACAAAACAGTTATTTATCATAATAACAAAAATCAGTGTAATGTTTACAAGCTGACAGATACCCAGAATCAGCATAATGTTCATAAATTATCAGCAACAAGAATGAGGGTAACAGTCATAAATGTGCAGGAACAAGAATCAAGGTAACAGTCATAAATGTGCAGCAACAAGAATCAGAGTAATATTCATAAATTTGCATTCAACAAAATCAGCGAAATATTCATAAATTTGCGGAGAACAAAAATCAGGGTAATATTCATAAATTTGCAGTTAATAAGAATCACCGTAATATTCATAAATTTGCAAACAAGAATTAGCATAATCATAAATTTTCAGAACAAGGATCAGTGTAATATTCATAAATTCACAATTAACTTATTGCTTTGGCTCCTCCAATAATCATTAATTCAGAATGTTATTTTAGCTAAATATTTTTTTTTCCAGAGTAATTCACAGGTTTTTGCATGTTCTCTCCAATGAAGCCGCGCTCCGAAGAACTTGCAGTCTTCTGAGAAAGCGTCTCAAATTTGAGCAAGTAAGTGAAAAGAAATTTATAAGCAATTTTTGAACTTTCATAAAACTTTTTACTTTATGTGCACATACTTATGTGCTTTTTAAAATGCACATTATGTGCATTTTTACTTGTGCACATTCCCCGCTTTCCGAATACTCTCCGGATCTCACATAGAGTCGTTTCTTACCCCTTTCGCGCCAAATAAATAAATGAATAAAATCCCGTTCAGTAGTAAATTCCATTAAACTATTACCTGCAATCTTTTAAGTCAACTGGTTTTAATTGCAAAACGGTATGCTGGTTTAACAAAATTTTCAGCAGAATGTTCATTTACAATTTATTTAATTACATTAATTAAAACAAGTAATATAAAAAAAGTTATCAATTCCTACTTAGGTCAGAAAGAAAAAATTTTTAAATGCAAAAATAAATAAATAAATAAATAAATACAAAAAATTAAATTAAAAATTTTAAAAATTTTGACATCTGGAAAAACCGTATTAAAATCAAGTGTCATCCACTACAAGTTCAAAAAATGTATTTGAACTTGAATGGATGAATAAAAAGTATTTTATTCACTACTGAAAATTTCAACAAGATATAGAGAGAGCGTGAGCTAATAGTAGGAATTTAATAAAAAGAGGGTTGATTAGCGTTTAAAATTATTTAAAATGAAATCTATCCTGTAGTTTTTAATTTTTTCTATATCAAAAGTTTATAAAGTATTTCTCTCGCCTTCTTAGCATGCCTTCGTAGTGTGGTGGTCTGTACTACTGCATTACTTACAAGTGAACGAGAATCTTCAGCTTAGTTATGGACGCATATTTCCAGAGATCCGTGGTTCGATTCTCGGAGAAAGCGTCGTTCATTTTTCATCTCTCCTGCTTCAAAATTCCTAATGTCTCTACAGTGGCGCCCGAACTAAAAGGGTGGCGAATGATGATTTTCCACCAACAGGATTTGGCGATTTTGTCCCCTAAAACCCTAGTTACCCTTTAAAATGGGGAGTATATAAGGTCCCGCTTTCTTAGCATGCCTTCGTAGTGTGGTGGTCTGCACGCTGGGCTTGTATTTTCAGAGGTCCATGGTTCGATTCCCGGCCAAGGCGTTGCTGATTTTTCAACTCTCCTGCTTCCAAAAATACCTAATTTCTCTATAACTTTTCGTTTGTTATGTTAACCTAATAAAAAGTTATTTAAAGCAATTATTTTTTTAAATAATACAAATAAAGAATACAATAAAATAAAATATAAATTAATTTGTTTTAAAAATGCTTTAGTCTTTTAACAAATTGTCAAGATATAATTCACTCCAAAGTGACTCAAAGCAAAAAATCGTATACCAAACGTAAACTGTACTAGCGTCCAAACGTTAAAAGCCACTGAGCAATGGTACTTCAGTTCACGATTCGAGTCCCGGCAAACGGACTGGCCGCATGGATGTTTTTGTGGTTTTCCCCTTGTGTAAAACGCATACAAGCCAGCTTCCTTTAAAAAGTCCTCCATGAGGCATCCGTACTTCCCCTGTAATGCCTAACGACGAAGCACGTAATAAATTTTTGAAAAAAAAAAAAAAAATTCTTAAACTGTACAAAGCAAGAATCCGTGAACTAAACCACTTTAAAAACATTATTGATTTTATTGCATCCTTTATTTTTATTATTTATTAGGTTGTCCGGAAAATAATGAAGGTTTTTAACCTATATCTTTAAAATATCATAACTGAAAAACAATTTTATTAATCAAAATAAGCATCAGCCGAATCAATGCATTTTTGCCAAGGAGATGTAAGTTTATTTATGTCGGTAGAATAAAATTCTGGAGTTCTGGACGCGATAAAGTTGTTAAAGGCGTTTTGGTCCTCGTCTTGGTTTTTGAAGCATTTCTTCTGCAGAATGTTATCCAGATGTTTGAAAAAGTGGTGAGAGGTCAGACAAATATGGGGGAAGAGGGAGTATCTCGTATCCCAATTCGTTCAATTTCTGTAGGGTCAGTTGCATGACGTGCGGCTGAGCATCGTCGTGGAGAAGAACTTGCCTCTTTTCTGTTAACCAATGCCGAGCACATGCGCTGCAATTTTTGGTGCATTTCGTTGATTTGCTAACAGTACTCATCTGGCGTAATCGTTTCGCCCAGATTTAGGAAGCTGTGATGAATGAGACCGGCCGCAGACCACCAAACAGTCACCATAATTTTCTTTCGGTGCAAATTTGGCTTTGGAAAGTTTTGTGGTGTCTGACCGTGGTCCAACCACTGAGCCGAATATCGCCAGTTGTTAGAGGTAATCCATTTTTCATCGCACGTAACAATTCGATTAAGGAAAGGGTCGTTGTTGCAGAGAAGATCAGACGACACATCAAAAGGCATTTTTTTTTTTTTTTTTAATTTTCGTTCTATTCGTCAGGCACCTACTTATCGAGTTTCTTTGACTTTCCTTAAGATTCAAGTGATCAGAAATCGTTGTTTTACTTATGCCAAGCTCTTTCGCAAGCTCTCGAATGGTTGTGCATGGGTTTATTTCAACTAAAGTCTTCAAATCGTCGTCATCTACAGCCGAAGAGTGTCCACGACGCTCTTGATCTTCCAGGTCAAATTCTGCACGACGAAACTTTTGGTACCATCCTTGAATTGTAGATTCATTAACACTTTCCTCGCCCCATACTTCGTTGACATTTCGAGCCATCTGTGCTGCGCTGCGGCCTAGCTTGTACTCATAAAAGTAAATTTGCCGAAAATCCCGTTTTGACATCCGAACAAAAAAAATTAGTAAATATTTTTAAAAATAATTTTGAAACAAAATGATTATTATAGAAATATAGAGAGAAAATAGAGCTTCAAAATAATATATAAACCAATGTAATTCAAAATATTTTTGTTGCTAAAAATGTACAGGAAAGATAAAAAATCGCAAAAACCTGCATTATTTTCCGGACAACCCGATATAAAAAAATAAATTGCCTTAAATTATTGTTAGTATTTAATTTTATTTGTCATTGCTTTTGATTTATAATCATCCAGATATAATTCAGAAGCGTGTCTCTGCTGAAAATTTTGTGGCTACTCCTTGAGAAAGACCAAAGAATTTTCAACTATTTGTTTTATTATATTATTTTTAGTACCAGAAGTAATCTCAGAACTCACTTTTTGTCCGGATCACTATTCAAACTGTTGGCCACCAAATACAATCGCAATGTAATTAAAAAAAAATTAAATAGTCAAGAATCTGTATGTATGTAAGTAGTCCTTCACTTGAATATGTGCCCCTAGAAGCCCGAATTTTGAATTTCAAATTTATTTTTTATTTATTTCGTATTTTGTACGGATTTGACAAAATTTTTACAAAGAAACAGTTTCTGAGTTTCTCGATTTGAAAGCGAAAAGTAGTAACACTTCGGGAGGGGGGGGGATTTTCTCTGGAGTGCTATACTGTTGCCATTAGGAAAAACGTAAGAATTGGCAAAATGTAAGATCTTTCAATTTTAATCCACAAATTTGGTCATTTGAAAGCAATGTGTTGCCACTGCCAATTTATATTTAATTTGAATAAATGTAATTGACTACTATGTTAGCTGTAACCATAATTCTCCTGCTTTGCTTTCCAGAAATCTCGAGAAGCAGAAATGACTAGAATCTCTCACGGGCGATTCAAAGCTATAAAAAGCCAGACAGAGAACATCATATCTCAGTAGTTGTTTAGTTAGCTTCTGTTGTTATTTTTGCGAGTTCAAATCGGATAGCCAGATTTGTAACCTACGATGCTCAATGAGAGTATAAAAAATCTTATCAAATCCTCTGGTGCGATGTTAAAATCTGAATCCTTTCATATATCCTTTCTCCTCTTAAGCAAAACCACTCATGCTTTGCAACATTCAATTAGATAGCAAATAATAGTAAAATTGGAAAAAACATAGTGCTTAAAATATGCGTGAAAATGTGATATGGTTAACAATTTGAATATGTTCTTTGTCTTGAAAATATAATTTTAAAAATCGAGTAACATATATTATATCTCAAAAAGCTCTCACAGCGATTCTAACACCTGCCTCCCATGTTACGATTTTTAACTGGAATTCGATAAGCGATATGAATTATAATCCGTTATTCAGCGCAAAAAGAAAGTGTGCCAGTAATGCATTCTTGGTAACTGCATATGTCTAGTTTTTGAGGAAAGTCATCAATTTTCGGTCGCCTCGCTCTGATAAGCTCACTTTCGACAGACAGGCTTTTAAACATGAATTTGCTTTTTTCTAACACGAAGTGTTTACTGACGCTACGTTCTTTCAGAACGAAGAGCTAGACGAAAAGCAACTGGCGGAAGGCTTGGATGATGATTTAGAAGTGGAGAGTTTGAAATACGAATTGGAAAAAGCGAAGTCAGGTAAGCAAAATCCATTTTTACTTGACACATTTCGTTAATTTTTTGCTTATCAGAAGTTTTTAACCCTTTCAATTTAAAAAAAAAAAAAAAATCAGTAACTGGAACCGTAGCCCATCCAGATATTCTAAAATTTGGATATTGTGCTGCACAGAGAGTGTTTACACATTTTTTAAATGTGAAAAAACTTTAAAAAAAAGAATATTTTTTAAACAGCGTTTTTAACATTTTTTGTTTAACATTTCGGATAATATTTTTACACATTGACACATTTTTAGAATGAATTTTTGTATACACAATTTTAGTATGAACAAGAACTAAAAAAAGTTCAATTGTTTTCAAATAATATTTTCACATTTTGAATATTTTGTTCAACAATTTAAATACATTTTTGAATAACATTTTAAGTAACATTTTTTGTTTAACATTTTAAATAACATTTTTAACATTTTTTCATTTTTAGAATGAAAAGTAACTGAAAAAAATGAGACTTGCGCTACTTTCACATTTATGCATTTTTAGAATAAAGTCTTGTTTACAGAATTTTAGAATGTGTTCCGAATCGATATTTTAATTATGACGTAAATGAAAGTGTGCTTGTCTTAATAGTAAAATTATAAGGTTTCATAGTTTGGAATTTGGCAACGTCAGAAAAATGTAATTGTTGTTAAGTTATGTTTTGAACTGGGTTCTAAAGTTTACGAAGTATTTAATGTACGTAAGACTAAAATTGTTTTCTTCCTGAACATATATATTTGAATAAATATGTTGTTTATATAAGCATCGCTATTTTATTGACTCAGTTCTAACAATAAATTACTGGTGTCCGCGACAGAATTCGAACCTGAAGAGAATGAAAAGGAATTTTTAAGTAATGTTTTTAACATTTTTATTGAGCTTTTTTTAACATTTTAAGTCATATTTCTTAATTTAACATTTTTAATATTTTTTATTTAACATTTTTATAATGAAAAAGAACTTAAAATTAAAGCTAATGTTTTGGAATAAAAATTTCTGGCAATAGCTTATTATCTGAAATGAGAAATATCGTCTGCTAGTTTTAAATTTATTTTTGTTTCAAAATGTCCATGTAAACATTAAAAGGAAAACTCACATTAAATATGTAGCATTAATAAAACTGCTAGAAAGCATTCTAAAAGTGTATAAAAACTCTCTGTAATTTAATTATGTAAGAAAAATATGTATTTAATTAGAAGTGCCTAACATATTACCTTCTCCAGTAGAACGGTGCTTCGGTCACCAGGATACCTGGGCCGAAGGCCCTTCCCCTTGTAGAACAGTTTAAGAAGTTCTAACATTGATGCAAAAAGAACCTGGTGATGATCTTGAATAAGTTTTGAAGAGTAATAATAACATGTGACAAATTAAGCATCGAAGATGGATTATGAAATGAGAAAGCTTAGACAGTTCTATATTACCGAGCTATTGCAGTTGCAACGTTGCCGGTTCCTTAAATTAAGCCCAAGGGCATATGACATAATGAATTCAGGAAATGGAAAACATCTTGGATGAGAAAACGGAGAAAAGAAAAGTGAGAGAGATACCAAAAGGAAAAAGGCCAAAGGCAGAAGAAAATGAACTTGATGATGACTTGACAAAGATGAAGAAAATCCAAACGGATCCTTGACAATTCAGAGAAACGGCAAATGCAAAACATGGTTCAAAATGCTATACAACAACAACAAAAGTTCAATACTACTATAAAACTACACAAATTCAACCCATACAACAGAAAATCAACACACAACGACTATTACAACTTCACACTAGCAATCCAAACAACTTAGAGTACAACACTGTCTTTATCAGATAAAATGAAAGAAATTACCGCCTACAATTGAGGAGCAAGAGAAGAAGCAGAAGTCTTATCCTATGAAGGTGTGAGCAGCAAGTGGTCTTATGTTGCGGTCTTCATTGAGTATTTCGTAGTTGAAGACTTGGAAATAGTTCACATCGTCGCATTGGACAGCTTTAGAGAAGAATTTCTCGTATGTTCTTTTAATGAATTCTGTGATGGTTTCAAGCTTAAGATCTCTATGAAGAAGTTCATTTCGGATGAGAAAGTCAGCATCAGTGAGAATACGAAGAAATTTATTCTGTACTATTTGAAGTTGATGTAATTGATTAGGAGAGGCAGTATTCCAAGCTGGAGATGCATAACAAAGAATAGGTCGGATACAAGTAGTATAAATATGTCTCTTGATTCTTAGGCTAAGGTTAGACAATTTTCCAATTACTGGAAAGATCTGCACATAATTCCAATTACTTTATTTTTAACATTCTTAATATGGCTGGTCCAAGTGAGATTATGGTTAAAATTCACTCCTAGGTATTTGGCTTTTGTAACTAAGGGAACAGGCTCTTGAAAAAGGAAAAGTTCTTTAAACTTAATGCGTTTTTTGTTTTTGCGAAATGGGAAAGCTGTAGATGACACAAATTTAAGATTGTAAATAAACAGTGACGAGCTGGTGATGAAGAATGTCGGTGACAGTTTAATGCGTCACCCGAAGGTAACAAAAAATATTAGTACGAAAGTAACGATCACTAGCCGCCTACACATATTACCTCTCGCCGATTCGAAGTTAAAGCATGGAACCGACGGAATAGCAACGAGCTTTAAGCATGTTATCACTTTCTGTTGATTGTTTCTAAATAAAATGGAATTTGTTTATAATCTTTATGGCTCAATGTCAGTTATAAATAATGCTCATTTTTACATTCTTATATGAATTTTTTTAATAATAAACTAGAAAACTTTTGGATTTCAGATTTCAAAGGAAATATCAATTTTGACTTTTTTCTATTTTTCTCCCTTTGTTTTTTTTCCCCTGACGTCTCTATCACCAGACAGAATAAAGGACTCTTTTTTTTTTTTTTTTCTAAAACGGATTGTAAAATGGATTAAAGATGGATTTTTTTTCCGTCCCGCATAACTCAAAACGATTAGCCACAGCAAGTTGAAATTAAGTAGTATATGGGACTACATAAGCATCTGCATAGTTGTGAATCGCACTTTTTTATTGCAGTCGGCAGTACCAAAATAGTCTTTACCTGTCCTTTAGTTTCGTTGTCGTTGGTAGTAGTTATATACTTCAGGTTACCGAAGTGTTTTGAATAACTAAAATTTTCATGTTTTCATGTTATATTTAAAATAAAATTAATTTTGAACAAACAACGGAATTTTAGTTTTTCCTAAAGGGTATAAAACTTGGGGAAGTTTTATACCCTTTAGGAAAAGCTAAAATTATAAGAGTTTTGACACCCTTAACGACAAAAATTAGCCGCGATATTTAACTTCAAAATTTGGAGTTTTTGATATATCTTACCTTGAGGATTCGGTTAATTAAGTTAGAATAATTCGAGAAAATAAGTTTAAATGAAGTGCAACAAAAGTTTGTATTATTTAATAAACCGTACAAGAAAGTCAGGGGGTGTCTACATCAGATTTTTTTATTTTTGAATCAGACTGGTTTAATTAAAAATGCATTTAATTCGTGATATATCTAATTTAAAACATTAAATATTTTATAGAACTACATTACATATTTTTTCACTTTTTTAATATGCAAAGGATATAGATTCCCATATTAGTTTAAATGCATATTCATCAAATATCCTCTAAAATGTTTCGCTATTCCACCAGGGCCATATATATGGATAATCTCTGCTAATAAAATGTATGAAATTTTAAAGGAATCTTTCTGGGTCACAGTTAAAATTCGAAGAAACAAAAGTCCTTTTTAATTAATCCTTCCAGAGTTTTAAACTTTTTTTTTATATTATAAGGTTTATGTTACTCGTAATTAACCAGTTTTTATGATTCAAACCTTTACTTTCTTCTTTCCTTATTCTTCACCAGAAAGCAAATTAGTTTTGTAAGTATTAAATCCGACAGCCTCTCTAGCAGTTGCGTCCTATCGTCAGCTCTGCCAAAGTTTATTCCGGATTTATCCCTTTTGTTAGTCGCCGTTTAATACGCGCCGTTAAAATAATTCCGTTTAAGTAGTTATCTCTGACTAGGTTACTTTACTATGAATTTCCTCTTATGTTATTTTAAATAACAGCAAGTGCTTGTTTTGTAGCACAAATAGTGGCTTCTGTTAAAATTAAAAATTTTATAAAAGCTTATCGTAATCTTCGTAGGAAATTTGTCATCTTAATTCAGACTGCAGTGATAACTCGCTCGTCAGTATACTAGATTCTGAAGAACTTTTATTTAAGTTTGTATACAAGTGAAATCCTACCATAGTTCTTAAGAATATTATTATGATTTTTTTAACGTTTTAATAGGATTTATTTAAATTTAAATGCAATGAAATCATTGTTTAATAAGAAATTGAATTTAATTAAATTTAATTTAAAAATAAATTCAATTAAATAGTTCTTTGCGCCATTGCTGCAAGGAATGAAATTTAAATTTAACAAATTTAAATTTAAATTTTAACAAACAGTATAAAAGTAAAAAAGCAAATTTAGAGCCAAAATTAAAAAAAAAATTAAAAATGGTTTTAGATTATTTTTAAAAAAATTAATTTAAAAAAAATTAATTTTTAAAAAAAGTTTAATTTAATACTTGACTTTACTTGCTTGTTTCTCAAAAGACTTCATTAGTATTTTCCTTTTAGTACTTTAATTCTTAAATGCTAATTCTTGACTTTTACCCTTGCCTGCATGAATGACGAAACGAATTGAATGATTGGAGAGTTAGGTTTGGAGGCAACTTCCTTGTCTCCTGCCTGCTCAACAGTCATTCACTTATGCATTAAAAAAAAAAAAAAAAAAAAAAATGTTTGGATTAATTTAATTTGCTAAATTAGTGAATTATTTTCATTGATTGGTTTTGCACTTGATTTGCTTATGCTTCTGAATTTAAATGATTGTAGATTTATTCGAGAATTAAATCTTTTATAAATTTACACATATTTTTAAATATTTTTAAATTTATTTTTTAAATTTTGGCTTTAAATTTGCTTTTTTACTTT